TTCTATAGGTTGTGTGATCTCTAAAAGAGCTTTGACATTTAAATTTTATTGCTGGCTTAAGGAGTTGATAGAAACTGGTAGAGGTCCCAAACAAAGGTGAAATTAGGAGTGACACTAGGATCAGGAGAGTACCACAAAAATGATAATGTTTGAAGTAATACATATGTTCATTGGACAGATTTAATTATTCCATGATCTATATATACTTCAAAATATGTTGGATGCAGTAAAAACATGTATATTTTATCAGTCAATGTAAAAAATGAAATAAAATAAGGAGAAGAGGTGAGAACTGACATTCAAGTGGACACTGAAATTGATTCTGTGAGTTTGCCCTGGAAGCATGAGTGAAAGGTGCAAAACCTATTACCATGTATAAGTACTTTATCACTGAGAAACTGGTGAGCAGGCGTTATGGTACTGTGGTAGAACATTGGCAGCTAGAAAGCATGGGTCAGTTGGAACATGATAAGTAAAAGCATTTTGGTTCTGGTACCATCCAGATCTGTCCTTTTTAAGTATATTATTTCAGTTAATGAGATTCTGGATTAATCTAAAATATAGTGTGTGTCAGCTTTCTGTTACTGTAACAGAGTATCTGCAATGACATACTTATAATGAGAAAAGGTTTGTTTTGACACAGTTTTAGGGATTTCAGTCCATGATCGGTTGACCCATTCTTTGGACCTGCAGTGAAGCATCATGTTAGAAGTGTGTGGTGGCACAAAACTGTTTGCTTCATTTCTGGGAGGCTAAAGAGAGAAAGAGGAAAGGGCTGAGATCCCACTATCCCTTCAAGGGCCTAGTCCCCAATAGCCTAACTCCCTCTCATTAGATCCCACCTCTTAAAGGTTCCAATACCTCCTGAAGGCTGTGGGTGGAGTACATGGGACCAATTATTTAACATATGATCTTTTGGGGGGACATTTAAGGTTCAAACTGTGGCACTGTATTTCAAGACTGAAGGCTAAAGGACAAAAGGGATCACTCCCAAGTTCCGGTGGTCCACAAGGGAAGCTTTTCATCATTGTGACTCTATATATCTGCAGGCACAGCTGCAGAGTGGTCATACAATGTGCTCATGCAGTATGCACACTGCAGGCTAATGACAGGAAAGACAGCAGCCCCCAGATTGTGGGTGACTTAGGGGACAGTTGTGGCTTCTTTGGTGATGCCTTCTTTGTCATAATTCTCTATCCTAGCTTTAGGAGATCAGGGGTGTGCCACCTCCAGGTAGGACCTCATTCATTTCCCAGTAATGCAGTGTAAACTCCACAGAGACAGGGATTTGGGTCTGGGTTGTTCACCACTGTCTCCTCAGGCTATAGCTCTGCACCGGGGATACTCAGCACATATTTATGGAATGACAAGTAGTGTCAGAACTCATTCACAGGCCAAGCAGCTATGTAAGTCACCAGAAAGTGGGACACCATGTTTAGTAAGTGGAAACACATTTTTTCTGGGCCGATTAATGTACTTAATGGAAGATCTGACTCCCCTTGACTTATAAGTGAACAGTGTAATGTGTTTTCTGATGTTTTCAGTTACTTTATGTATTTTCCCCGCATGTGCCAAGTGTTCATGGTGAATATAACACAGCTACATGGTGTCACAGTCACAGGTGCACTCAGAGTCCCCTTTTCTCCTGGAAGGACACCATGGATAGTTTTGGAATGCTGCTTGCTGTATGTACAAAAGAAATGAAATTGAATTCTTTGGGTATGAGGTGTAGCATTTTTGTTATTCTACTTTTAACATAGGAATTTTCAAGTCTGGAAAATTAGAATGAACCAATTGGAACATTCCTGGATTAAAGTAAAGCACTCCAAATGAATTTATTCACTATGCATTCCAGTTCCATTAATCCTGATGAGCTCATCCTGGATTAAGGCATAGCATTACCTTTCCTTGACTTAAGTTTGCATTAACTGCTTCTGTACCATGAGAGGAAAATATAACGAAAGCAAGAACTCCTAATGGCAGGTTTTAAAGTCATGCCTAACAAATGAAACAGGAGAGCATTCTTCCGGATGTCCAGTGCACATTGAGCTTGGCTGCTTACATTTTATTGGGCAACCATTCAAGCTGTTTAGTCTCAGAATTCCCTTTTTTTCTCTATTAAAGACTATGAAGGACCTCAAGGAGCTTTTGCTTACGTGGCTGGTATATTTGAATATTTACCACTCCAAAATTAAAATTAAGAACAATTTGAAATAATTGTGTGTTAGTCTCCCTAAAATAATAACAACAACAAAACACATATCATGTTAATATAAATAATATTTTCAAGAAAAGAAAAACAATTTTCCAAGACAAAAAAGTCCAACAAGAAAGTGTGGCATCATTTTGTATTATTTATAAATCTCTTTAAAGTTAAGCTTAATTTGCTTAATGTTTAGCTATATTTGCTTCGGCATTTAGTTCATTTTGATGTGTTGCTCTGCTGAAGAATTAAAGAAAATGGCCTCCAAGGTATGTCCTTAGAAATGGAGAAATAATTTAATAGCCACCCACTGCTTTTCTACTATTTCTGAGGATTGAACCCTGGGCTGTAGGAGTACTCTACTGCACCCCAGCTCATAGCAGCCTTTTTAGATAATCATAGATATTCTTTTTTTGATACTATACCAAAACTCAATGGCAGTAGTTGGTTCCTGTATGGAATTTGAAGCCAGATCAGTTAAGTTTTTGTACAGATAAGTGTTTTTATACTTTGAATCAATCTTTCACCCATTCACAGTTCTTTTTTACTCAGTTGTTTTGTTAAATTACATAAATCTTCCAGATGTTGGCACATTTCAGCATGTATTTTTTAAAATATCACTAATATCATCTCTGGTGTCATCAGAAAAACTCAAGTTTTTAAAGCTGTTCAGAGCCCTTTGACAGATACAAATTTTGCACAATTCTGGTATTTATTTTTCTTGTACACTCACATTTATTTTTGGCAACAAATGTTGTCAGCTGTTCCCGCTCTTTGTATTCCATAGCTATCTGCTGGAAAGACGAATCCCCACCATGGCTTTGGGTTTTCCCTCCCCAAGCTCAGGTGCAAAGGATTTTGTGTGGGATATGTGAGATAATGGACAAGGAAAGCCCCATTCTGGTGGGGGGGGGAGGGGAATCTTCTTCAGAGTGGGCTGTTCCATCTCTGAGCTATTCTCCCTTGGTTCCCTTCTTTTTTCCTTGAAATGAAATGAGACCTTGACCTGGGGCCAGCATCCACTGTCTGCAACATTTCTTCCCTACCTTCTATGTTTGGTAAACTTGTCCTCTGAGCATCACCTCATTGCGGAAGCTATCCCTGGGGCTCCTGATACTTTCTAATCTACCTAGGCCAAGGCTAGCAAGTGAATCCCTGCATTGGCACCTGTACCACGTAGGCATGTGGAGGTCTGTCTCCCTGCTGGACTATGAACCTGACCTCATTAGCCTTCGTTTCCCTCAGTGCTCTAATGGCACAAGATAGAGCATCAAGAATAGTACTGGACTGACATTTAGGGACAGTTGACCATGGGCCGTGTTTACCTACCATTTAATGAATGAATGCTCAGTTTCTTTGGTGTGATAGTGGTATCACATTATGCAGGCTGGTAACATTTTTAGGAGGTACTGAAATACTTAGAGGTCATATGTCATAATAGCTATAGCTCACTGATTGTGTGCTTCATGCAGAAAGTGTATCTAAAGAAAGATAAAGCAATTATGGAAAAATGTTAAGTATGTATACATATAGATAAAGAATTTCACTCAACTTTTTTTTTTCCTTTCCTTTTTATTGAGTTTATTGGTACAATCTAGGTCTACAATACAGTTACATTCATTACTGGGATCCTGTACCTTCACATGACAGGTCTTTTCTCATTTTTTAAAGAATTTCACTCAACTTTTTTTTTTCCTTTCCTTTTTATTGAGTTTATTGGTACAATCTAGGTCTACAATACAGTTACATTCATTACTGGGATCCTGTACCTTCACATGACAGGTCTTGGTTCTCATTTTTTCTCCTTGTCCCTGCCCTCCCTTCACCCCCTCCGCCCTCCCCATTTCACTCAACTTTTTGTAGATTGGGTATTTTTCAAAATAGAAAGTGGAGAGGAATGAAATTTCAATGGAGAAGAGTGTCCAAAAGGTGTTTGTGAGGATTCCCATTGTTGGCATTCTATTTGGCTGCTGTTAAAGTGCAACTCTAGTTGTTGATTAGCATCATTATGTGTGCTTTTGGTGTGCTGAAAATCTTCTGGGGGTTCACACTAGGTGCAAATAGTACTTAGCTTAATTAAACCTCTTCCAGCTTCTGGAGGAGTGCAGGAGTCTGCACGTCTTAATGGTAATGTTTTGATAACAAGGGGCTTTCAGTGCCATGCATCTGTAAGATCCTTCCAGTATGCTCTCGTGAAGTTACACTGGTTACTTTCCTGGCCCCTTTTCATCCCATTCTTGCTGGGGCTACAGGCCACTCTCCAGGAAACAAGTTCTGTTTTCAGTCATCAGACTGCTAGTATTGAGGTCAGCTGATTCATCATCAGCTGATACCTCTGGGAGACCATCACCACATGCCGTGAAAACATCCAAAGTTTTCTGCCCCTGATGACCTTCCTTCTCAATGCCAGTATCAGGAGAGGATGCACTACCCTTTCTTGATCCAAAGCAGGAGCTCAGCTTGTGCAAAACCACCTCCGTTCCTTAGATTGTGGAAATAGCCTATGTAACACTTTCGTGGCAGCCTCTTAGACACAGGAGACTCCATTCATCAAGGTAAAATGCTGGACTCTCTGGCTGGGAGATCATCTAGTCTGGTTTCTCATTTTCTCCCTGATGTCACCCACGGCTCCCCTCATGCCTGGTCAGTGGGAACCTGTCATTTTCGCTGTCTTCTTTTGGCTTTATAGTTGGGGTCCCCTGCCTGCAATGGGGTTGAGCTGAATCATTCCTTTCACTGCCTTGGAGGTTCTGGAACCAAAACAGAATGCCTCTAACAGTTCTTCCTTGCCTTCCAGGAGCCTGAAGCCCCATTGGAGCCCTCTCAAGACATCTTGTCCCCCAGGCTTGGGAGATCTTCTGTGACAGGTGTTATTGAGTTCTCACGTCCTAATCCAGGTACAGCCTGCCTATCAGTACCCCAGCAGGTGCTAAAATATGTTATTCATTTTAACCTTAATTAACTGACAAGAGTAGCCTTACATCATCATTTCCCCTTCCCTCTTTCCTATCCTCTCCTGTCTTTTCTTTCCAATGCTGGGGATGGAATCCTGGGCCTCAGGCATGCTAGGCAAGGTCTCACAAACTGAGCCACACCCCCAGCTCTGACTTCATTTACATTGTCAATGGCAGTCCTTTTTCAGAATCATCAGGCCCATTAATTCTCATAGACTTAATAAAAAAAACAGGGTTGCCTTTCATTTCAGTGTATCTTACATCCCTCCATTTTCTTTAGACAGAACTCTTTATATCCTATGGCTGACAAGGCTTCCTCCCTGAGGCCTGGTCACCAGGTCATGCTGTGGGTACAAGGTCAGCCGGAAGCTGTCTTCAGTCATCCCTGGGCATATGCTTGGGCAGTGCTATGTCATTCTGTGAGCTTTGGCTCATCTGTGAGACACAGTGGCAGGGATGCGTAGTGCTGCTTTTGACACTTGGAGCCTTTGTGTTTCTTGGGGTCAAGGGCTGGCTCCCATTTCCTTCCTGCTGTAGAACTTGTTGTTTTGCTCCTATTCCTTTCACTCTTCTCTTTGACTTTCACCCTTTCACTTAAACATTTTACAGTGGCTGTAGCACTCTGCGTTAAGTCATTATGTTTCAGCCTTTGGAGCCTGAGGTTCTGAGGTCAAGGTTGTCCAGGGAGACTGTATCCCTCCCCGCAAGTAAGAGTAGCTCTGCTTCTACCTGATTTTTATAGTTGGGCTTGTCATAATGTGTAGAAAAGAATTTCTCTGTAAAAATACTTTTTAAAACTATGGCTGTAGTTATTTTTCAATAAACTAAAAAGGTTTACTGAGCATGGAAATGTCACCATTGTCACTATTTTATTCATCATAGAATAAAGGGGTAGTTTTTCTTCAGTTTGGAAAGAAAGAGCCTTGGAGTAGTTTAAGGAGTAAGTGAACAATCGTGAGAGTGTGTGTGTGTGTGTGTGTGTGTGTGTGTGTGTGTGTGTTTGTATAATGAGCCCCACCTGACCATTCTCCCCTCAAATTCTGTCAGTCATCTGTGGCCATTTGTCTCTTTAATTCTGAGTCTGTAGCTGTGTTAAGAAAGCACACATAATCAGCCTACTCCAAATCCTTAATCAGAAGGACTTTATGGGGGATATAGCCAGTGACCTCTGCTACACGTAAGCAACTTTGAGCAGGCTGTCTTAAAGGGAGAATTAAGAAGGAAGGAGAAAGCCTCCTCCTCTATAAGATCTGGGTTCCTTTGGAGGATTAGGCTGTACATAAGTATCTTGTTTATGAGGCTGATGCAACCTGGTAAATATCAGAGACAAAGGTGCAGAATTTCCTGGTATTCTTTCCTGAAGACAGGAGATAAACTTAGATTCTCACCAGTGGGGAGGTGGGAAGACGGTCTGCGTAGGCTAGGGCTATAATGTACCGGGCCATGTGGGCCTCCAGAATCCTTTTCTCTCCTTCTCACTTTAGGCATTTATTTAGTAAAATTGCTTAGAGTGAATTCATTTTTTGTGCTTCTTCCTGCTGTGCCAGTCAGATGTGTTTCCACTATCTTAACAGACTATTTGAGAACATCATCCTTGTTACCTAACATGCGGGTTGAGTGTTGATAACCAAAGGAAAAGCTTGAGTCAATGCTTCTGTTCCTCTGGTCCGGCAGTATTGTGCCAAGAGAGCAAGGGAAGCCCTTGGGTGGTCCTTAGGTAGATCCTGAGTGATGTCTGAATGTGGGGATGCACAGCCTGCTCATTGGGGCAGTTCACCACCACGACCTTCATCCTTCCTTGGGAAAAAAGGTACAGAGCAAGTGCCAGGTGGCAAAGTCAGGGTGCATCTCCAGGAGCCTTACAGTCCTGGCCATGCTTGTTTACAGTCCCTGTTTTATCATATTCTGTCCTCTGTCATGAGGGCAGGCAGCTTCTCTGTTCTTTTCCCTGCTCCTTCCTCAGCACCTAGAACAAGGGAGAGCATGCAGTTTATGCACAATAAACACAAGCTGTGTGGATAGATGATTGTGAATAGTTACTTGCTCTCTTCTTCCTTTCCAGACTCCAAGGGCAGCCTTCTGGTTCATCTTCTGTGGCTCCTGTGAGCCTAGAACAGTCACCAAGGGTAGAGACACATTTTTTTTTCTTTAAAGGAAACAATAGCCACTTGATATATGCCATTGTCCAAGAAGGAAGAAATTACTTTCAAGTCCTTTAGCCTTAACCAATAAAAGATAGTTTTCAACGACATAATGATTGACCCACCTTTGAAGGAGAGACCCTAAAAGAAAGTTTGGGGCTCTGTTTTTTAGCTCCATGATTGTTTAGCAAGAGAAAGAATTCAAACTCGCTTATTATTGCATATGAGTGTTTGGATTATGTGTTAAAGTCATCCATTGCTGTGGCTTAAAACAACCCACATCTCACAGTTCCTGTGGGTCAGGAGTTAGCACAGCTTAGCTGGATTCTGTTGTGTGGCCCATGAGGCTGTAGCTAAGATGATGATCAGGGCTTAGTTCTTATGTGGAGGCTCAAGTGGAGATGAACCCACTTCCAAGCTCCCTTACGGAGTTGGCCAAACCTATTTCTTTGTGGTGTAGCACCAAGGTTAACCAGAATGACCTGGAGGCCACGCCCAACTCACAGAGGACTTCTGCAGCCTGTCCCATGGGGGCTTTCCCAGCTCGGCTGCTTTGCTTTGTCAGGACAGGAAGTGGGAGCTGCCAGTGCACTGGAGTCTTGTGTAAGGCTACCTAACAATGAGAGCTATGTCCTGTCACCTTTGCCATATTCTCTGGGTCCAAGGCAAGCTGCAAGCCCCATCCACACAGGGATCACATGAGATGGGGTTCTGGGGCCACCTCAGTGCCTGCCCAATGCACAACACCTTTCTCAGTCTCTCAAGAGGGCAAGTTGAAAAGTGTTTCCCATCTGAGGTCTATTTATTATTTTAATCTGTTTTTCTACAGTGGTCTGGATTTTAAATCTCTTAAGGGTTACACCTTTATAGGTCCATTTATTTTCCAGCCAACCATCATAGATTTCCCTGAGCTGTCACTGAGCTATTGGCTGATACCAGGCTGTTTCCAGATACTCGGTTATACTTAAGGAGTAGGGTGGGTTACATTGATCTTTGCCAGCTGCCTTAGAATCCAACTGTGGTTTTGTTACATTGTGTAACAAAATGTAGTTCTGAGTCTTAAATGACTTGCTACTGATGAACTTATAGCAGGCGAGATATCCTCAAAGTAGGTTTTGCTGTGATACTGGGGACTCCAGAAGGCATAAATTGATGTTTGTTTTCAACCTTTAAGAATTCAATTAAGGAAGTCATGTGTGGTGGTTCAAGTGTGTAATCCAGCTACTCAGAAGGAACACAAGCTTGAGGCCAGCCGGCCTAGGGACCCTATCTTGAAATAAACTTTAGAACAGAAAAGGCTGAGGATGTAGCTCAGTGGTAGAGCTCTTGCTTCGCATGGGTGAGGCCCTGGATTCAATTCCCAGTACTTTGAAAAAAGAAAAGGATTTATTAAGTGGGCTAGGGACATAATGTCAATGGTGGAGTTTGTGCCTAGCATGTGTGAGGCCCTGGGTTTGATTCCCCAACACCAGCAAAACCAGCAGCAAAGTGCCTTAAAAAACAATAGAAGTAATCTGTGCTCTCCTCATTCTCAGAATGGAGTCTAATCATCATAAAGCAGTAACCAAAAGGGGAGATTATTCATGTATTTAATGGAATGGAGAGTCAAGCGTTGGTGTGTGGAATGGCTCTGGAGTCAAGTTTGGTTAAAGTCTAGGGTGACATCTGTGGTTATGGTGTTACACAGAGCCTTCTGTTAAATCAAAGCAGATAGCACAGCCGTGCTGTGTGATACAGTGTGGTCAGTCACCTGATGTGCTGAAAGAGTTCTTCACACTTCACACCACCCAGTGCTCTTTTGGGTAATAAGAGCTATGTCATATTTGTCTAGCATCCTGGCCTGTCTTGCCCATCTGTGGCTCTGTCTGCTCCTCTGGTGTCTTCTGGTCTTTCATCACAATCGAACGTTCTGATACTCGAAGTCCTTCCTGTAATTGACCATTTACTTCCCGATTCTTTGAAGGAATTTCAAGCCAATCAAATCACATTTTTCTCTGAATTTGAGACTGTTCTATTTCTACCTTCTAGGATGCCTGCTCTACATATATTACACAAAGAGGAAACCTCCTGGCTAGGAGTACAGAGCAGGTAGTTGTTGAGGGTTAAAGCCAGGGAAGGCGGTGGCCTATGCCAGCAGGCTGTGACACTTCTTCCAGATTATAAATGCTTTCCTTCCACAGTGAGTGTCTGAGATTTTGGCTGCCAGTGAAGTATGGTTGTGAATAGGGCAAGAATATCTACCATAAAATGTGGCATTTCCTGCTTGGGGATTTTTTAGTGAGGAGATAGTTCCCATGGTAGCTGGAGGGGTATGTATGTGCGTGCATGTGTTTGTGTGTGTGTGTATTATATGTACCTCAGGGCTCTTTGAGGAAAATACAGATCTGGGAACAAATAAATGGCAGGTAAAAATGATAAATTGAGGCATTTGCTTGTGCCAGGGTGCTTTATTAGTCAGATTAATATATTTTGCTCAAAGGCAAACATTGATTTATTATCAAAAAGGAGAGAAAGCCTGAGCCTCAAGCAATTGGCAGTCAGTGGACCTAGTTTTCCTTCTAGTATCTTTCACAAGATGACCAGATTATTTGTCTCAAGGTACTATTTTATTGATACTCTTGGCTTAAAATTTTTACCTCAAAGTAGAGGTGTAAGTCTTTCAGTTGGTCATGCAGTACTCTCCTAAGGGACCATTCCACCCAGCCCTGTGTTTAACAACTGTCATCTGTCTGTCCATCTCCTTTCCTTCCCTCCTCTTTCCCTCTTTCCCTGCTTCCCTTCCTGACTGTCTCTCCAGTCATC